ATGAAGCAAATCAGAGCTGACCTAGGTCTCCTCTTTTAAAAGGCTATAAAACACAAGGGATGAGATTTCCTGTCTTCCCCCAGTGGAATAGCTGCTGAGTTCGAACCGCCTGCCTTTGGGTTGGCAGTGGAACTCCTTACCACTAAGCAACATACTTCTGTACTACTTATATTACTATTTGTATTTTACTATTCTATACTAAGTACTGATATAAGAACTTTACAACTGGTTTAATTCAACCAATAGTAATTTCATGTATTATTATTACTTTTTAATAAGTGGCAGAAGCTGGACTTGTACTCTGATGATATACCTCAGAGGTCACACTCTTTATCCCCCCTTTTATTATTAATTTTAATGAACATTTACAGAGACTTTTTATTCCCATTGATTCATTGTTACATTTTTCTCCCTGCCCACCTATCCTCTGCCCAGTTCATTCTTGTCTTTGAAAAGTAAAAGAAAAATTTTTTCTTTGTTATACAGTCCTCTCCGCATCCCTAGTTCACTCCGCTGTGCAGCCTTCATTCTGGACTCTTGTCATGACAATAATACCCAATCATATATTGCTTTTAAACAGTTCTCTCCCTCACCTGTTTCAATGCAGTATACGTAATTTATCCCCTCTTTCTCAGTCTCCCTCCAACCCTGATTAGTCCTATTCTACAACAGTGGCATTATGCAATATTTGTCCTTTTCTGACTGAGATATTTCACTCAGCATAATGTCCTCCAGGATCACCCATTTTGTAAAATATTTCATGAGTTCCATGGTTTTCAATGCAGCATAGTATTTCATTGTGTGAATATACCAGAGCTTCTCTATCCATTGGTTTGCTGATGGACACGTAGGTTGTTTCCAACTCTTTGCTATTGTGGACAAAGCCGCAGTAAACATGGGTGTGCAAGAGGTTACACTCTTAACCACTACTCTACTTAAAAGCAAATTCTAATGTTGCTTTCCTCAGGTTTATATCCAAGCTCTGCCATTTATCCACTTATAATGTATAAATACCATTAGTCAATTACATGTCTTCTCTTTCATAGTTTACTCATCATCGTACTATATTGCAGGTAACCTGACTTTGTCCAGAGTAAAATATAGTAAACTCCGTATTTTTAGCTATTCATTAATAAGATATACTTAGTGTACCTACTATGTGCTTAGGGAGCTCTAGTGGCCTAGTGCCAAGAAGCTGTGCTGCAATCCCAAAAGCATACTGTTCAAGGTCACCAGCTGCTCTGCCGGAGAAGGATGGGCAGTCTCTTCCTTTGTGATTAACTGCCTCTGCAAACCTGTCAGAGGGTCAGCTATGGGTTGGTTCCTACTCTATGGTATACAAGTTCAACAATTATGTGTTTACTCTTTCATGAAACATTTATAATGTTCAGTTTTTTTCTGAAATTACACAGTTTCTTGAGTGTGTGGTCCTAAAACTTGTAGATTGATAGAAAATATGTATACTCAGATCATCTCTCCTTCTGTGATTGAACTTGAAAAAAGAGCTTAGGTAGAGAAGAAAAGATTGCTGTTGATTCCTGTTGTAGATTACATAATCAAATCAGAGAAATTACAGTAAATTATCCTTTAATTGAAATATGACCAGTTTTGTTTGGAAAGTTTCTTGTTTGATTTGACCAAACTTGTACCTTTAGGGGTTAGACCTATATGGAGCAGGTAGGGACACCAGCACCAACTCAGCCAGCCACGTCCACTAAATTAACCCTGGTTATTAGTGAAATGATAAATTTGGCAGCCAGATTATCCTGATATTCCCATGTCAATATAGCTTTTAAATAAACAGAAAAAAAACCACAAAAAACCCTGAGCTGTGACACTATTAGCAAAGAAGAGAAGGGGGAAGAGGAAAAAGAGTTAAGTAGGTTTTTTTTTGTTGATATGTGCCCTCAAGTAGCTTGATAGAAAGTGAAATAAGATTTGAATAAAGAACTGACAGAAGAATTGAGAGAGTGCTATAAGCTCCTACTTTTTCTCTAGGCGAAGGATGTGTTGCTTCTCCTTTAAATGTTGTTTTATTTTTGAGAGTGTACACAGCAAAATATGCACCAATTCAACAGTTTCTCTATGTACAATTTAAGTCACATACATTAATTACACTCTTCAAGTTGTGCAGCATTCTCACCCTCTTTTTCTGAGGCATTGATCCCTTATTAACATAAATTCACAACCCCCTAAGATTGCTAATTAATCTTTTGAGTTGCTGATGTAAATTTGATGCTATGTAAATAGTTCTTAAAAGAACTTAATCCTTAAGACAGACCTTTTTTTAGGACCTAAGCTAAAATATTATTTCATTTTAAAAAGACTTCAGGGACTATTTTTTGTTTAAAGTTTAAATATTATCTCAGGCATTATTTTCAGGGATTCACTTTAGGGAAGCCCTGGTGGCTTAGAATTGTGCTGCCAAGCAAATGTATATGATTTGAATCCTCCAACTGCATCATGGGAGGAAGAGGGGCAGTCAACTCTAGCACACTTCATTACCTCTGAAGACCCACTGGATGGTCAGCTGTGGGTCAGTTCTGACTCCATGAAGCACAATAGCAACAAGAACAAACATCCACTTTTGATGGCTCCAAATAGTCTAGCTTCCATGAGAATTTTAAAATCTGATCTGAAAAAAAGAAAAAGAAAAAAAAAATCTGATCTGAAGTTTGCCTCTTTCAGACAGGATTCTTCTCTGGAATTTTTTTGGTACTGATTTATTTACAAAGTTTGAATACATTGTTTTTCACACAAGATCTTTCCCATTTTCTCTGGAATTTTCTAAAATTGTGATTTAATTGAAAGTTTATAAAACATTAATTTTTTTTATTCAGTTATACATACTCTTTGTTTCTTAACATCAGTTAAGCTACTCACAATGTTATAGCCCTTTTCCACTTCCTGCTTGTAATTTCATTTTTTAAAATCCTCCTATCCTATTTTCTCCTGCCTTTAGGGATTTATCCTTAGGCAGATGCTGCTCTTTTTGCCCTTATGTGGTTAGTTATTCTAAAAAGTGAGTGAGTGAGTGTCTTCCTGGTGTTAATTGCTCACCTTCTAAGCCTATGTATTGTTTAACTGGTAGTTGATCCAAGCTAGTGAATTTTGTTCCAGATTTGAAGAATGGCTAAGGGCCACAGTCTTGGGATTGGGTCAGTAAGCTTGGCCTTTTTTATGTTTCCGAGTTTTCTTCTACATTTGCCCACTGTATTCAGGATCTTCTGTGATTCTTTGAGAGTGATCAGCAGTGGTGTTGAACATCATCAAATTTCATGATCTCAGGGGGTTGGAAGTTGAGCTTCCTGTGGTCCATTTGTCCTTTGCTTCTTTGGACTAGTTATTTTAGTATCTCTTTGCTTTTCTTCCTCCTTCTTTGTTCCGGACAGGGAGAGACCATAGTTTTACTTTAAATTACTGTTTACAAGTTTTAAGACTCCGGTCACTGCTCAGCAAAATAGTATGCAAAACTTAATGGACTCTAGTATGCCAGTGAACCTTGATGTTCCCCAGGACTACGGTTCCAAGGCCCCAGAACAAGGAAATCATTCCCTCCGTATGTTTAGTTAGGATTAAGAAGCTTGTAAGATATTATCCCTGTTGACTCTATACTTCTATGGAATCTTTCTCTAAAATGTTCAGTTATGTAGCTAGGGACCATCTGGTCCTTCTCATCTTATGGCAAAGACGGGAAACTGTTCATGACAGTAATTAGTCACATATTCCATCTCCTCTTCCTGATCCTGGCTGTCATTCATTCTTTCTTGGCCCAAATGAATAGAGGCCAATTATTATTGTATGGATGGCCACTTGTAACCTGCTTTTTTTTTTTTATGGTGGAATAAGTTTATACTTATGTACAGAAGAGTCGGTGTGTACATCAGCCCAGTTTGGTGGCGAGTTCTTTGGCCTTGGCCTTCTCCAGCTTGGCAGTGCCGGCCACTGACTTGGGCCCCAGGACGTTGTCTCCCCATTGGCGGCGGATCTCATCACATCTGTCATTGTAATTGCTTCTGATGGTTTCTACCAGCTTCGCCAGAGCGCCTTTATCTTCCGGGTTCACCAGAGCGCCTTTATCTTCCGGGTTCACCTGCGTGAAGGCAACAGTGGTGCAGGTCTACCAGTGGACGAGGTGGCCCAGCCTGGCCTGGGCCTTGATGATGCAGTAGGAAACACCCACACAAGACCAGCAGGAAGACCACCAGCTCTATGGGGTCCATGTCATATGCGATCACCACCAGTTGGGCCTTCTTGTTCCCCACCAGGATGGTGATTGTATTCACCCCAGCACGGAGGACAGGGGGCCTCTTGGTGGGGGTGTCTCCTTTGCCAGCAGCCTTCCCTTCTTTTCAGCCTGGGCCAGCAGCCTCTGCTTGTTCTCCTTCTTGGTCTCTGGTCAGTACTTGTGGGCTAGCTTCAGCAGCTGAGTAGCTCTCTGGAGGTCCAAGGTTTGGGTAGACTGGTTAATAGTGGGTGGCACCTTGAGTTGTTTGTAGAGGATTGTCTTCTGCCGCTGCACCCAGATGTAGCAGGGCCATTTGAAGAAGAGGGTAAGGTCCCTTTTGTGTTAAGGTCCCTTTTGTGTTGAATGTCCTGCCCGATGCCAAAGTTTTTGGGTCTTTTCTCGAATAGGGGATTCACCACCTTCTTGGCCTCCTGCTTCTTGACCATGGCTCCAGGGCCACCTTCTTCACCTTGGCCTTTCCTTTCGGCATCTTGGGTGGGTGGGCGAGAGAGAAAAAGCCACTTGTAAGCTTTTAAGACACTAGGCATTGTGTAATGAACTAGGAGGAAGAACAGAAGCATTAAAAAAATAAATGGGTCAGTTAATTGTGATGTCCATGAAACTGTGGCACTGACTATGTTTTTAAAAGAAGACTGACATGGGCTCTGTTTGGTTATTTTAATAGTGCAATTGTGACATATGTCTTAATTTTTCATTATTTGAGTTTTATATCATAGATCCTGACAGGTGTGTGTTCTTATCCTCTTTATAGTGCTGAGGCTTTCTACAAATGCAGGCCAGTGGAAAGAAGCAGCCAGCAAAGTGACCCATGCACTGGTTAATATCAGGTAAGGAGTGAGAATTTATCTCTTTAAGAGTTCCTTGGCTCATCTTGAGGTTTATTGTACCCTTGTAGATGGAGTGTATTGAACACTACTGCTATTTTAAGTGCTGATGTCTGTAGGAGTGAAAGAAATTGCCATCCTTAATCAAGCAAAGCAAGAGTGCATGATATTTTTATTTTGTTGTATTGAAATAGTTTATAATGCTTCTATTCTATGAATTTTCTTACTAAGAGGTGGTCTTTTTAGGCATCTATGTTGCCAAATTGTTTTCTGTGAACAGGCTGCCTAAAAGCTTTTCTTTGGAATTTCTTTCTGCAATTGTCTATGACTTAAAGAATGAATGACTCCTGGGGATCTGGAACTTTTGACATTTTACTTTATGTGACCATTTCTGTTTGTGGTAAACAGAGGCAAAAGGAGCTCATGGGGCTAAGTAATTTTTTTCTTTTTTCTGATATAGTTAGGCAATTACAGAGCGCTGTACTGATTAAATAAAATTGTATCCGATACGGAGGTGAATAAAGTCTTAAGGATATACTATTGAGTCACAGTAGTGAGCTGTTTGTAGATAGAGAAGAGAAAGTGCTTTATGAAATCTCCATCTGACTTTTTCTTTCATTCTTTGCTGCCTTTGTGCCAATGATTTTCTATTTCCTCAACAGTTATTAAATTGTTCTTGCAAACAATTGAAAAATTAACATTGGGGGGGGAAAGAGGCAAACCCAACAGATGGGAAACTTGATTTAGCTCCAGATGTAAGTCTTGCCAGACATTCCCAGTAATAGCAATGCATATTTACAACTTGGTATAGAGTGTGATGGGTGACAGAACTGGTATGCAATGTTTATTACTATATCTTTCTTTCCTTCTCTCTTTTTTTTTAAGATAAAATTTCTGGTCCTTGTTTTGATTTACTACAGTTAAAACATCTGGGAATAAACGAAAAAGTGTGAAATGTGTTGGACAGGGAGTGCTGAGATGAGAGAGCTTGGGGGTGAAATATGCTAACAGGATTGCATTGAAGTTTGATCTGCCTTATCTGTCTGCAGAGACATTTTTCAGCCAAGACAATTTTATAAATTTGGCAAATAAACACAAAACTGCACCTAGAAAATAAACCAGATATAGTGATGAAGTCTTATGATAAATGTGATTTGTGTGTGTGTGTGTGTGTGTGTGTGTGTGTGTGAAAAATTAGAAATTACAAACTGCCTTCTCTCAAACATTCCCTTTGTGACCCAAGGACAGTATGACAAATGTGGATGTTTGAATGAAACACCAGATTCTGATCAGAGCATGAGGCACAAATGGGTGTAATTTATGTTGTTCTTATTTATTCGTGTATTTATTGGGCTTTCCAGGCAGCTCTTTTTCTTGGGGGTGGGGTGGGGGCTTGTTTCCTTTGCTCATGTTCCTTTATGCCTGTTTAACTTTTATTTTGTTGCTTTTCCTTTCACTGGTTGTGGCTTTGCTGCTGTTCTTATTCTTCCCGAGGGATATCAAACCGCTGATTTAAGCTCTTAGTCTTTTTTCTGAATAGCCCAGAAAGAACTAGAATGAGCCATACACAGGTGCAAGTTACTGTAACCTCTTCTTTCTCTTTCCAAATTCTATTAGGCGTATATCTTTCTTTTTATTCTCACATTTTTCTGATAACAGTAACATTATAGCCACTAATTTTGATGAATTAGACATGTAGTATATGCTCAAAGTATCAAATACCTAGCAAGTTTTCTCAAGAGATGAATTAGAATGCTACTTATTCACACAAAATGGAACCATGGTGGGACAGAGTGTAACATAATTATGCTGCTAACCAAAGGTCAGCAATTCAAATCCACCAGACACTGAAGGAGAAAGATGGTATAGATTCTGATGGATGACAGCACTGGGATGCAGTTAATCTCTTAAAGATTTACAATGTTGGAAACCTGATAGAAGGTCATGATGAATTGGAACTAACTCAGTGGCAGTTGGTTTGACTTTGATTATCACACTAAGGCTGAAACAGGAAAATAATGTTTTAAAATTTTTTTTATTATGAATTTCAATGAAAATTTACAGAGACTTTGGATTTCCATTGTTGC